CTGGCTGAGAAGGATAACGTTTTCCTTAATTATACATATAAGTATGCATTACGCAAACAGGCAAACCATGCACACTAGTGGTCCCTGCAAACAGACTCACACTAACTTACTCTGTCAAGTGTATGCAAATCTCAGATGTGAGAAAATTAGTAATATACTTGGTTGTTATGAGTGGGATTTCATTCTTATCAAGTTAAAAAAAATTATGAGATCACTAATAATGCCTTATTTTTAAGATAATTTTGACTACATATATACCGTATATTTCCTTAATTCTCTTCCTTAACTGCTATTTCTTTCACGATTAAATCCATAGCCACACTTTAGGAAATCTCTATCTGTGTGTTTATGAGACTGATACCAATCATATCAGTCTTTTCAATTTTCCATTTTCCACTCCCTTGGTAAAGTAGGGGCAGCTATGTAACAAAATTTTCAAATAATTCCCTAAACACTCCAATAGAGAGAAGGCAACACACCAATTCAGAGCAGTTGGCTGTATTTTTTCACCAGCTTACACATAAAAGTTTAAATCTAGGGTGAAAAGGGAGATTGAAAGAGTCAATTTATCATGAAAGAAAGTGTTGGATTCTCAAAATCCAGGCTTCCTAGAAGTCAAGGACTGACCATGTTTGCAAATTCACCATCTTGCTAATCGAGAAGAAAGGTTCATTTTTGTGAATAAGACTTTGTTAAAACATAGCCACAATTATTCACATATTGTCTATGAGTGTTTTTGTTCTACAATGGCAGAGCCAAGCAGTAGAGATGAGACCATAGAGACCGGATGTCCTTCAAAGTCTAAAATACTTACTATCTGATCCTTTAAGAAAAAGTTTTTGCTGACCCTTGATGTAGGGCATGGCTGAGTTCATAAGTTCATACTGTATTTACTGACTTTTCTAAACAACAAAAAGACTATGTTTCTCTATCTATCTAGCTAGCTAGCTATCTCCATCCATCCACAGGTCCTATACAGGACAAAATATGAAAAGAGACTTAGTGACCGCTCATATCTGCTACTCATTGAATTATTACTCTTCACCCACTAAAATGATACAATTTAGCTAATATTTATTTAAAAGATTCAGAAAATAATTGTTTAGGTTCCTTAGCAATGTAAATGACCATAATATAAAGTTGCCTGGGCAACTTTTTTTTTTTTTTGAAGAAAAAACTCCAAGCTTTTTGTTCGATAATTCTCCCAGGATAGATTTCCAGGCACGCAAATGGAGCATTTTGCATTGTTTGTAGGTACTGAAAGATAACAGCACTATGGCATCCATAGTCTTCACCCAACAAGGTAAGAGAGTCCATCTAAAATTGTGGCTTTGGGAGGGAGGTTGAGGTAAGTAAAACACTTTTTGGGATCTGAGTAAGACTAGGGTCAAAAAAAGCTAAGAAAAGAACTTCAGAGTCAAGTTCTGTCCAGGCTGGAGATTCCACCCAACCAAGAAAAATGTTTCAAGTCCTTTTAAAAGACAAGGTCTCATTCTTACATTCTTAATTTAATTTACTCTATTATCTTATATAATATTAATTTTATATTAAAATATAATTTAATTTTATGCTATTAATTTATATCATATTATAAATATAATTCTTAGTTTAAGGTGTGTTCTCACTTGGATGACATATATCTTCAAGTAGATTTTTCAAGAAAGTTTTGTGGGTGACATTTTATGAGTTCCTGCATATTTCAGTATGTCATTTCCATTGCCTTCATTCATAAAAAATTCATAATCTGATCCTATATAATAAAGTGGGGTCACAGCCTCTTCCTCTCAAAAATCAGTAGATGTTATTCCATGGGCTTCTGCAGAGAAGTGTAACGATAGCCTGATTTTAGCATGTAAAAGAAAAAAATCAAAACTGCCTACATTTTCAGTTTTCTTTCAAGCTTTTCCACAAATTGTTCTTCCCAAGAACATTTAAAATTATTTGGTAGTTTCCAGCTGTGTGCCCTGCACATCTAACGTGTCTTTTCTCTTATCATTTTGAACTTTTTTCACCTTTGTTTAGCATTTGAGAAGAGCTTATCCTGTTTGTCTTCCACATTACTGATATGATTTCTCAGAGTCAAATCTGTTTTTTTCTGCTGGTTCTTTTCTGTGGATTTAATTGGGCTGCTGCATTTTAAAATTTCATTATTCCCTCCATTATCCTTTTCTTTCCAGCATTTTCCCTATAGGATGATGGTTCTTTTCTTACGGCTTTCTGATCCTGTTTCATAATAATCACACCTTCTTACACTCTACTGAAATGGCAAGCCCATTTTCCTACAAACTTTTCCTATTTCCCTTTTGAGTCCTCAGCATGATTTTTTCTCTTCTTTACTTTATAAACTTTTAAAGATTCATTGTTGAATTTTTCAAACATATTCTAGTGATAGGAGATCCACATAGAAATGGCATTAGAAAAAGCAAAAGGTATATGGAATAGGCTGGTCATCACAGTGCCTAGCCAATTTTCAGAATCTGTCAGGTTTTCACAGAGTTTAGTTTTATACGATTAAAATGGGATTTTCTTCTCTGAAGAAGTCCCAATGTATACCGATGACAGTTCCTAGATCTGTCGCTAGCAATGGAACTTTATATTTGGAGGCACTGTGCCTTGTCTCCACCAAAACTGCCCACTAGCCCCTTCCATGTGTTTGCAAAAAAAATTTTATTATTTTTTGCTGCAAATCCATAGGAAAAAAGAGATACAGAGAACGGCAAGAGAACAGGATGGGTCGACAACACTTTGGTGTGTTAAGATATAATAAAACAGTAATTACAGAGGCTATGCCTACTAAAATTCAGTGGTTTAACAGCTGCTTTCTCCTTATTCCCTACTCATTTCTCTCCCCTGGGATTTACTGTCAGTGAATGGATAGACAGAGAGCTACTAAATGGGGTGGGAGTGGAGGCTGGGGTTGGAGATAGCCCTGTGGAAGACTCAAAGAAGTAGACATGCAGAAGGTCAACTGCTCAGCCTTTAAGGGGTTTCTAAACTGATGACAAAAGACAGATTCGGGCAGCAGTAGGGGTCTTTCTCATCACTTGCTTTCTCACTAGCTTGCTGTATTTTTAGATGAAACAGCATTAGTGGTCCATCAACTAAGATTTTTCAACCCCAAAATGTCAGCAATCATGAGTCATTATGTTATATATAGCATGTAGTATAATAATATAGTATTATGTTAATAGATTTCAGTGTTTTATGAAAGGTCATCATTTTCCATTTTCTGTGTCTTTAAAGATATTTTAGCGGGAATTTAGGATGGGCTAAGTTAGATGCAGCTTTTAGGTTCGATTTTCTAGGGAAAAGCCTAGCCCAACTTCTTAAATCTGCTTTGTCTGGCAACTTTTCTTTTGTGGTTCTCAGCTGAAAGAAAGGTGCTAGGTTCTGCCTGACACCTCTGACTTCTGCTTGTCTCCCGTGAGTCTTTCTTTTTCTCTGTCCCCTGTGAGGAACAGTTATTCTCTCCAACTCTTCCGTATGAAATGTGATCTTTACATGACTCCGGTAGGAGCGGTTCTTAGCGTCCAGTAGTCTAGAATACAACAATTTTGAGGATGATAATTCTTTTATGACTTCAAAGATCCAAACTCCACGCTCCTCTAATCTACACATAACATTGCTAATCCTTCCTGGGAATTTGTTTTGCTCATCACCTCATTCTTAGTACTAGCTCTAGGTAGGGATAAAATTGAATAATTTGCCTTACACTAATTCATTCTTGCAGCTGGCTCTTGCAGTAGGCTCTTGTAACTCTCTTGGGCTGAGTCAATAACTGCTGTCTGATTTCTGTGGCCTGACTATCCTCACTCTGCTACTCTCAAATATTCACCTCCCTGTCCCTCTTCCAATCTTTATTTCCCTAGATGCAGATTGTTTTCTTAGAATCCAGTTTCCTGTGTGATTTTTTTCTAAAATCCAGGTTCTGTTTCCTTTTTTCTTTTCTCTTCACTTGGATATATACTATTCATGCAGTCCTTCCTACCCTAATGAATACTGTCAATACTGACAGATTGGACCTGCCCCATTCATGGTGAGCTCACTGGTTTAGATCAATATGGCATCGCAGGGACTGTAGAGTCTACCAAAGGAGCATGATACTATTAAGTAACTTGGTATACTAATGTGAGCATAAGGCAGAAATCCAAATTTTGGACATTTCATACTCTGCTACATATTTCAGCAATTACAAAATGTTAACTATTAAAAATATTTGCTAATCTTCTGAGATTTTAGGCCTTAATAGTATTTAGTATAATATAGTATTCAGCATTCTTAAAGTCATTAGAGTCTTATAAGGCAGAGAAACAAATTGTTTGATCTGTCATGGCTCTGAGATATTCTTTTCAACAATCAGCTTCAAATCCTTCTGTTTTATTACAGCAATTGATTTAATTTTGTTGTATGACAATACTGTCCATTCACATAGTATATTTACCAATCATCTCAAAGAGCGTTTAGTCCAACAATTATCTGAAAGTCTTATTATGGATGAGTAGTCCAAAGAAGAATCAAGTTGGAATTTCTCAGAGAAACAGTAACCATAAGCAGATGAGGTAAAGACACAGGGGTTATTAGCAAGGTCAAAGCTCACGTTATTGGCTAGACATCAAGCAATACAATAAAAATATAATGCAAGCCACAAATAAGAGTCACGTATATAATTTTAAATTTTCTAGTAAAAAAAAAAGCAGGTGAAATTAATAATATATTTTATTTAACCACAATATAACCAAAATGTTAACATTTCATTATGAAATCAGTCTTTTTTTGTGTGTGCTAAGAATTCAAAATCTGGTGTGTATTTTACACTTACAGAACATCTCAAGTTAGACTATTCACATTTCAAGTGATTAATAGCCATATAGGCTAATGGCACCATGCGAGACAGTGCAGTAGTCTAGATTTTTATGTTATCATCATACTTTAAGAAAAAAATGTTTTGTAGAAAAAATAAATAATTAATGTGAGAGACATTAAAAATTATTTTCTCTTACCTACACAAATCTTCTTTTATGTGAAGAGAGACCAATTCCTTAGGAATATGAAATGAAAGTATGGTCTCTGACATCTGCTCCCGGACTCGCATCCACTTATTGTCAGATGTGGGAAATCTATATAATTTACACACTGGGTTCTTTAACACTGGGAAGGAAGAAAAAATAAAAGGTTAATAGTTAAATTATAAAGATATGTGCATTAGATGAGGATCAATTAACAAAATCATTAATCAGGGTACCATTCTAATTTATTGGATCAAAAATTTGTTTCTTATCAAAATCCATTAGTATATGTGAATTTCTAAGAATTTTGTTCTTATATCTGATTTTTCAAGTAGCTTATGGGACATATAGTCTTTTTTAAATTAAAAAATGATACCTCAAATTCCAATTCATAAATGTGGCTACATGGTTCTCTAATTTACCACCTACTAATTTCTTTCTCTTCTAAAGATTTTCTTAAAGCATATGATTTTATAAATATAAGTGAAAATATATGTATTTATACATAATACAGCTTTGAAAAAGTATATTTCTGAATTTCTTCTGATAACTCTTAGTCAATTTTACCCCATTATATAGTAGGTGACAATTGATAAGTTATTTCAGAGGTTTTAAATGGCCCTACTACTAAAAATGATTTATTTCTTAAATATCAGAAAAGTTATTCCTTGGCTTAAGATCTATTACAATTCAAATATTATGCATGCTTGAGTGCCAATGAGTCAATAAGGCACTTGCCTGAAACCACATATTATCAGAAGCAAGACAGGGAGACTATGAACAAACTGTGTATTTAGGGTGAGTGGGCCGCAATTAGGGGAGAAGTAACAAGGTCATGTTAGCGAGGATTTTGAAAGATTCAGGGAAAAAGTGTAGGGTCAGATATTAAGATAATACTTGATACTGTTTTTGTGAGGCCAGCACTCCTACCACACACTCCCAAGCCCTATTATTTCAGAGCAGAATTTTATTTCCGCTGCTGTTGGGCAATGAATGTCTTTGCTACACTCATATGCCAAAGCTTAATGGACAATAAAATATCAGGTCAATCACCAGTCAAGTATCTATGATTATTTGGCTCCACTTTACCAATAAAGCTGATTAAAAACAGAATTTGATATTGAAATGGATGTAAGGCTTTAAATAATCTCAAGCATGGTATGTGGGCCAAGTCTCCTCAATGCATAGGATAAAATGCCTTTCAAAATTTTAGGATTCCATAAGACTATATCTCATTCATTACTTGAGTAACATATAATATCTTTCTGAATATTAAAATGAGGATCTATTCATCCATTCCTCTGCAATCATCCATTCTCAGAGGTACAGTTCGGGCATTATCATTATCAGAAATGATACTACATTGGAAACTTTGATTTCAAACATCCCATTCTTCAACGACCAGACTCAAAGCTTCCAGTACACTTACCTACCCCCTACTAAGAACTAGCCAGAGTGGTCACTTTTTCAAAATCACCAATAGAAGCCAGAAGACAATAGAATATTTCTAGTATGTTGAGAGACAATATTTAAAATCTAGAGTTGTATGTCCAAAGAGATTATATTTTTAACATAAACATGATCTTTAAGTTTTATGAATTAGATCATATGACAGATCCATATATAATTTTTTAATATTTATTTTTTATATATTACATACATTAATTATATTTATTTTCTTTCTTTTTTTATTGAGGTATAATGGACAAATAACATTATATTAGTTTCAGGTATACAATGTAATGATTTGATATTTGTATATATTCCACTATAATCAGCACAATAAGTCTAGTTGTCTGTCACCATACATAGTTACATTTTTTTTCTGAGAACTTCTAAGAGCTACTCTCAGCAATTGTCAAATATGCAATACAGTATTATTAATTACAGCCACCATGCTGTACACTACATCCCCATGACTTGTTTATTTTATAACTAGAAATTTGTACCTTTTGACCCCCTTCACTGATTTTGCCCATCTGCATCCCCCTGCCTCTGGCAACCACCAATCTGTTCTCTGTATCTATGAATTTTTTGTTTTGTTGTTTTGTTTTTGTTTTTTCATATTCCACATATAAGTGAGATCATATAGTATTTGTCTTCTCTGTCTGCCTTATTTCACTTGGCATAATGCCCTCCAGGTTCATCCATGTTGTCACAAATGGCAAGATTTCATTCTTTTTTATGGTTGAATAACAATCCATTATAGATATATATACCACATTTTCTTTACCTATTCACTGTTGGTGAACATTTAGGTTGTTTCCATGTCTTGGCTACTGAAAATAATGCTGTAATGAATATGAGTGTGCATATATCTTTATGAATTAGTGTTTTTGTGTTCTTTGGATAAATACCCAGAAGTGGGATTGTTGGATCATATGGTAATTCTATTTTTAATTTTTTGAGGAACTTCCATACTGTTTTCCTTAGTGGCTGGACCAGTTTACATTCCCACCAACAGTGCACGAGGGTTCCCTTTTCTCCACATCCTTGCCAACACTTGTTATTTCTTGTCATTTTGATAACAGGTGTGAGGTGATATCTCATTGTGGTTTTCATTTGCATTTTCCTGATGATTAGTGATGTTGAGCATCTTTTCATGTACCTGCTGGCCATCTGTACGTCTTCTTTGGAAAAATGTCTATTCAGATCTTTTGCCTATTTTCTAATTAGACTTTTTTGATGTTTTTGCTACTGAGTTGTATGAATTCTTCACATATTTTGGATATTAGGCCTCATCAGACATATTTTCTTTCATCCGAAATATAAGAAACTACAGCCAGTTGATGAAAGAAACTACGATATTTCATTCATTTTTAAAGTGACAATGTTTCAAAGATTTAAGAATTTTATTAAAACCTCTATTGTCATATCTCTAGGGTTGGAGAATAAAGAAAAATTATGTACTTAATTCAATGTAGTGTCAGTTGAGTTAAGCCATTCATGGTTTCTCATGAATTCTAACATAGCTAACATGGTTAGGAATATAAATGCATCCTTTTATAGTAAGACAAAAACTCAATCTCTGAAATGTCCAAAGTTTTCTTTAAGTAACCTAAGCAAATATTCAATTACTTGGTTTATCTATAGTCAGTATATGTGTTGCTTTTTAATCTCTGTTTCTTTTCAAGATTACACAGAATCTTTGTATCTCCCAAACGATGGTTAAAAATCCTTGGATTTCTCTTGCCTTTTATAAAACAATTATTTTTTAGAAAATTTGTATTTTCAAGTAAATCACAAAATATAAAATTCTTCATTTTCTCTATTATCCCCACACTAGTCCTTCAACTTTTGATCTTATTGCTTTCATTTTAATGCTGTTCCACGTGTTCTAAATATAAACTTTGTTAAAACAGCTTAAGCAGAAATAAAGGGCAGTTTGATTAATGAGCTCCAGAACTCTCCTCTAACCATCCAGTACACATCATCCAAAGACTCTGTGGGAATGCTGCTTTTTTTTGGTGAGGAAGATTAGCCCTGAGCTAACATCTGTTACCAATCCTCCTCTTTTTGCTGAGGAAGATTGACCCTGGGCTAACAGCTGTGCCCATCTTCCTCTACTTTATATGTGGGACGCTTGCCACAGCATGGCTTGATAAGCGGTGCATAGGTCCGTGCCGGGAATCCGAACCTGTGAACCCCAGGCCACTGAAGTGGAGCGCGCAAACTTAACCGCTAGGCTACTGAGTGGCCCAGGAATGCTGCTGTTTTTAAGGGTAACATTTTGGACAAATTAAAAAAAAAAAAAATCAGGCAACTTGATCATCAAAAAAAAACATTCCTGGGGCGGGCCCAGTGGTGCAAGCTGTTAAGTGCGCGAGCTCTGCTGTGGCAGCCCAGGTTTTGCTGGTTCGGATCCCGGGCGCGCACTGACGCACCGCTTGCCAACCCATGCTGTGGCGGCATCCCATATAAAGCGGAGGAAGATAGGCACGGATGTTAGCCCAGGGCCAGTCTTCCTCAGCAAAAAAAAAGAGGAGGATTGGCAGATGTTAGCACAGGGTTGATCTTCCTCACAGAAAAAAAAAAAAATCCCAATAATGTCTCCTATCTAACTTTTATGCTATAGGTTCTGACTTTTGAAACTCACAGGTTTCCTAACATTAGCACTAAATTGTATATACTTATCAGGATCTCAATACAGATCTAGTGAGATCTGCTTTACAAGCCACTTTGATCCAGCAGCTTTCCTTATTGAACATCAATCTATGAATAAAGCAAAAAAATTTACTTTGTAACCTAAAATACCATATAATGGAGTATGACTTAAAAAATGAAAAAATATGGCCTGACTTTAACTACCATGCAAATTTGTTGCTCTGGTTACAAAAAAGACCAGATAAGATGTTAACTCAAAATTCTTGCTGGGTTGATAGTGGGGAGATTTTGTCATCCTCATATAAAAGAAAAGCATGGGATTCATGCATTAAATATTGAACAATGGGCCATAAATGATGAATGCTTCTGTCAATTTTTTTTAACGCTTCTCCCCTTTAATAGAGATACAGTTTCAACAATTCTGCTCACACACTCCAGCTGTGTAAATGAGTCCACTACTTTCAGCTCTGGCTCTCCACTGATGCCAAGTATTTCTTCATATAGAAAATGCATTTCTGACCATACAATAGGCTCAACTCAACAATAAAAACTATCTAAAATCTATCATAAGTTCTTTTTAAAGAGACTCCTGTGTGTATTCTCTTCATTTTTTTTTTTTCACTATTTTTGCCAAGACAATTGCTAAAAATATCATGTAACAGATTCTCCTAAGAGAAAAGTAGTAGAGACATTTTGGATCACATCATGGTCTTGCAGTGACTTAATAAGGGCAATGTTCTAAGCTGGTCCAGATATTGATACATTCCCCTTGAGGTCTACTCCCTAAGGAGAACACAGGGGCAAAAAGTAAATGATAGATTTTTTTTTCCCCCCAAATTGCAGCACAACTCAAATTTCTATAGTTTCTCCCAGACACTGTAACAGGGCCTCTTTAACAAGGTAATGTGCCAACTGCTTGTCCATGGGATTCAGAAATCATGAAAGTCAAGCTGTACGGAGTCTGAATTATCAAAGTAAAGATGCCAAAGAAATGTTCAACAAAAACAAAACATATAGACAATATATAAAAAAGATGGC